AAAAACTGTACTACGGGTAGTCCTTAACTTATATTAGTTCATTTAATGACCATTTGAAGTTACACAGCACCAAAAAAGGTGACTTAGGACCATTTTTCACACTTATGACTATTGCAGCATCCCCGTGGTCATGTGATCAAAATTCAGGCACTTGGCAATTGATTCACATTTATGTCGATTGTAGTGTCCTGGGCTCATTTAGTTTAGTTCACTTTATTGTCATTGGACCTTGTACAATGAAATCAAACACCATCTTCAGTACACATCATGACCACCACTATGAAAATAAACACAAACACACATCCTTCACCCTCCACACATTGAACGAAAACCCACAACACCGCACCAACACTGCACTATACAGTAGAATTCAAAAGAGCTACTGCCCTGGGATAGAAGCTGTTTTTCAGCCTATTTGTCCTTGTTTTTATTATTCTGTACCATCTGCCGGATGGTAATAGTGCCAAAAAAAAAAAAAAGGTTCCCAGGATGAGATGGATCTTTGAGAATGTTTTGAACTTTCTTAAGGCAGCGGGAGCTCTAAAGCTCTTCCAAAGGGGGGAGAAGGCATGTGATTATCTTTTATGACTTTCTGACAGCAAAGTTGATGGGGAAGCCAGATTGACTTAATAACCATTTTACTTACTTAACAACTGCAGTACTTCACTAAACCACTCTGGCAATAAAGGTTGTTAAATTGTGCAAAATAAATAAATAAATCACTTAACAATTGTCGCACTTAGCAGAAATTTTGGGCTCAATTGTGGTCATAAGTCAAGGGCGACCAGTATACTGCATCCTAAGCAAATTATACCCTTCTACTCTTTAATTAAGTATCTTCAGAGGATGTCACCCAGGAACAAGATCTGACTGGAATCATGAGCTGGGATGGTTACAGGATTCCCCTTTCTCTGATGTACAGTTTTTCATCCCTTCTAAACTATACTTGGAATCTGGTTTTATATTCTGATATTTCTTTTCTGAAGAGTACTTTATTTTATTTATTGTTGGCTGTTTTCATAACATGGCATGGGGTTTTATTGAATGGCTTGTTTATTTTAACTAAAATATGTTGTAAATCCTTCAGGCAAGTTTTGCCAGGAACAAGACACTTCATTCAACGGCTAGGTGGCGCTGTTAAGCTATACGGAAGCGCAATTGTTTCGTATCCCAAAGCTTCAAACTTTCTTTGCCTGCTTTCCAAAAGCTGTGGAACTTTATTTGTGGCTATTAGCAAACTGAAAAAGTGATTAATATGCTGCTGTTCTTCATTTTCCTCTTCCCTGTTTGCTTCTCTGTGTTCTTTATTTTCTACTTTCTACTTTCATTAGCATGTATCATTTAACTTGCGTTTGCTCCCTTCGTGCTAACTTACTCTTCTAATAGTCTTTAAAATAAATGGAAAGTAAATGTACGAATAATTAAATGCAGATTTCGTTCCAATGAGTCCATTTCCGTACATGGCTAAAAGCAACTTCCACTTACAGTGGTACATTAATGTTGAAAGTGAAGGTTACATCTATCCAGCCATGGATATTAGCCATAAGAGTGAAATGAAATATACACATTGAGGGGTGTGCATATCAGTACAAGAAACTGGACACATATAACAGACAAGAGTTCTCATAGGAAAGAGGATGCAGAAGATTTTCTGTTATTAAGTGAACCATGGAAGAATGGGATATATTTATTAATTTAATAAGTAAGAGAACTTTCCCCTAGATTGTGATCTTGATTTGAATCTTGACAGCTGCCCCCTTATGCTTATGCCTGTGCTAAATTACTATCGGGGAGGGGGTTATGAAGAAGGGAATGCTTCGGGAAATGAAAGTAAATGCTGTATCTCCTCTAGATGCTGCCTCAAGGCTACCCAGTTAGAAGAAGGGGGGATGCATAGGCTTGGCCTGTCCGTTAGGAAAACAGCTTGCCTGAATCAGATTGATTACACTGAGGGGAACAATGACAGACAATTAGGGGAGGGAAAAGTGGAACTTAGGGTTTTGGGCACGCAATTTTCAGATCTGGCTTTGCTTTACTGCAATACACTCAACCTCTAATTAACTATACCATTCTCAGCAAATGGAGCCAAGGGTTGTTTCTAATTACAGGTTTAAGCTATGGCAGGTTCGACAAATCCATTGCTTACTCCCCTTTCTTCTTCTTTTCCTCTTTCCATGTGAGAAGGAGAGCTTTGATGACTGCAAGAGATAGATTCCTTCCCTCCATTTTAGGACAAAATATGGTCCCCCCCACACACCAGTCACGAAATAAGAAGGGAAAGAAGCTTCCTGGGGAATTAATATTTTGTAGGAACTCTGGTTTAGGTCACAGCTGTCAACTCTGAAACAGATTTCCAGACATTTCTTTGGAGGCTTACTTCATTTAATTTTTACATTAAATGAATTAGAAAATATGATTAAAGATCATTGAACGTTCTCTACCAGGTTTGTCTAAACTTACAAACTCATGAAGCAGAGGCAAAATAAAAAGATGAAAACTTTATTAGAAGGAAAAAGATATTCTCTATTTAGTAGGCTTTGAGACTAAAGTGATTTACTTTTGAATATGTTCTTCTAATTTCTGTGGTATTTTATTTGTAAGTGTTTGAATTTAACTTTCAACATTTACTGGTCAAACATTCAGTGGAAATTAGTTTTCCACTGGAAAATAGGAAGAAAAAGAAACACTCCAGTCCAAAGTAAACATTGCTTAGCTTCATGCTTATTTTTTGGCCATTGGAATTGATGGAATTTAGTATTAATATTTTACTTTAGCTTGATCATGGTTTCAGCCTGAAACAAAACTAAGCAGTGGCTGTTTATTCCAGCTTTCATAAGTGGTTTCTCCATGAGGGTTACATGCAAAATATACATTGGAACTGGAGGTCTACAACATTTTGTGGGAGTGAACATTGGAGGGGAAAAACTGGTTAGTCCTATAATATCAATATAAATGCCTCACATACTTATTATTTCTAAATATTAAGACCATGATTGCTTAAGAGAGTATCACAGCTTTCTATTTTTATTCCAGATTTACCACAAGTAATATTTTTATCTCATTAATTCACCGCTTCTACCCCATCAGGTCAACTTAAAATCAAAGATGCTCGTTAGAATTAATCTAAGCAGTTTTTCCTAATTGTCCATCAACCATGGCCTTGTCTAGAAACCCCATCTTAGGAATTATATGTGAATAGTAAATACCCAGCTACACACAGATACACACACAAACTTCAAAGCATTTGTATAAAACTGTAACAATTGACAATATAACATGATAAGGGCAAGTTGCTACGTAGGCTGACACTTGCATTCCTTTGTTACAAATATGTCACACAAAAGAAATACTGGTGATGCACCTGGGATTTTTTCTTCTGTCAGGTTTCTCAATTTCTTCTGTCAGGTTTCTCAAATTAGGGGAAAAAGTAAACATGACTGAGCCTTACATGCTTAACAATAGATCAATGAAAATACACCCACCACCCTTGTGGACATGTGTGTTTTATAAAATGTACCTGAAATTCCTATTCTTAAAATACAACAGTTTGTTTTATTGCTCTAACAGATACTGTCCTGAACAGATAAACATTAGCTGTAAGAAATTCAAAATTCCCTAGTTGGTGGCAACCTTACATTCCAGATAGCCTCTCTTTTATGCCTCTACAATATATTTGCAAATGTATTGAGAAAATATTTTGTTAAAACAGTAGATAAATTTGAATCATATATATTTTCATCTGTATCTCAAATTAATTACATCTTTATCCTACAATTAGATGTTTAATAGAAACAAAATGAACCTTCTATTGAAGAATGTTTCCTTGAATTTGTGATATATTTTTCTTTAAATTGTTTTAGGCATGACTAGCTGTTTCTAGCAAGTCTGATGTGTAAATTGAATCATAAATTACCATTATTTGGTTTGACTTGTAGATACAAGGTCCAGTTTGTGTCCTATCGATGAAATGATCAAAAATACTGTATTTAAAATGAGAAAGCAGATGATGACAAATATTTATACCTGTAGGAATATACCAGAATTCAAAGCGTGACAAATATCAGTCAGTCCCATGTAAACTCAGCAGATGGATCAAATTTACATTTCAGATCTTAGAACAATTGTAGTGGTATTGTTAGTTTTCAAAAAATTAGAATAGTTTTCAAAGAATTAAGCTATAGATAACTCTAGAAAGTTTGTCAGAGCAAATATTCTCAAAATATTCAAGAGGGCTTAGCTAACCATTTAGCATTGTGACTTGAATATGGCCTACTGATAATTCAAAAAGAGAGGCCAGTATTCTCTTTTACTTTATTCATGAACTATAAAAATTAAAAAGAAACATTCTTTCTGCTAAAATTGAGAATAGTAGGAAATTCTACTTAGGAAGATAAATTCATTTTCTTTCCCATGTCCCTTTGAAGTCACATGTACATTACTTCAGAACTGTTTTGCAAGCTAGAACGCTTGAGTTTATTTTCATATCATATTTGTTTAACCTCCTAAAATTCATCTTAATACATACCTCAACTATGGGTGATAGAATTCAGACAAATGCAATGACTTTGAAAATATCAAACACCTCTCAATTCCTCCTACAATTCTGATTGGTGTTCTGTATGAATGCTAGACTCTTGTAACCATCTTTCTCCTCAAGGAATTTGGAAAGGGGTACCCATTACAATCAATATTAGTTGATAAGGTTTCTGTCTTACCAGCTTTAATTCTGCATTCCCAAAAGCAGTTGAATGCTTTGCCTGGCTCAATGTTACTCATCCTGAGTTGTTCATCAATCAAGTGATAAATTGACGAATCAGGGAAGTGGGGGGGGGGGGGGGGGCCTTCCCTTGAATTAAATATGAACTTCCTTTGTCTCATAATATCCTTAACAGAACCATGACGGATATTTCCATACACCCCCCTGGGGAATGTGACGTCTCCTGCATAATGCGATAGCTGTTTCTGAAGTGGAAAAGTGGCCCTGTGTATATAAACCTATTAAATGAGGCAGCTGGAAAGGCTGCACTAAGTGCAAAGAAAAGCAGGCTGGTAAACTTCAGACCAGGAGACCAGATACTTGCCTTTGAATGCTCTGCTCAGTATCTGAAGAAGAAAGTGTGGCACGCTGAAGAGAAATTCAGCACCAAGGAGAGCTCCAAGTCTTACTTGTGCAAAAATCACCATTACGGTGATTTTTTGAAGAATCCAAAAGTCCATCTTCTGGCTTTGTAAGTAAAAGTGGATATTTGTTCAATTCTGTCTAGAGAAATGTTTTTTCCCTGAACTCATTTTTAGATTTCCTGTATGCATGTGGAGTTGGTATGATTTAATAATAATGCAAACAGTTATCACAATGTAGTGTAGGAAGGCTGAAAAGGAATTCAAAATATGAATTTCTCTTCTGGGATGATTTTCTGATTTCTCTCTCAAATAACAAAAGTTTCTCTTTTAAAAAAATGCGTATTTCATTATTTCATATTCTTTTTGAATTGTCCCTTTTCCTTGAATAAAAGGGAATACTTATTACTCACCTCCTTCTGATCACTTAGATATTTCTTTTATATTTATATGCAACTTAAAACTTTTTAAATAAATCATGAAGACTTTTTCCCCATCATTTTCCACATACACATGTTTAAAAAGTAGTTAAGAAATATGTAGTTTAGCTTCCATTTCTTTAAAATTATTCACTTAAATTTCAGTGGTGCTCTAATATTTTTTATATTAACTCTATTCTTGTGATCAGATAAAATAAATACTTTTTTTAAAACAATGAAATAAACCATCATTTTTCTCATACAATTTCAGTTGCAGAACAATGTGAACATATTCCTGAGGGGAAACTGTGTTAGACTATGGCAGTAAAAACAACATTTTGTAGCAGCTTGAAGATTTGTACTTTTTTTTTAATAACAGAAGCTTTATTTGATCACACTCTCCCTTGGATAAATATTTTCAGGAAAATGGATCACCATCACCATACACGTTTCCCCCCTCTTTCTTGTCTGTAATCTCAGAGCTTTTTATGTGGATGTTATGGACTAATTTTCAATGAGTTTACTGGTGTCTCAAATGTTTGGCTCTATTTTCTGTCATAACTTTAAAGCAAATGCAGCCAATACAAGTTCTTTGATGCTATTTTTAACAACAGGATAAATTTACTTTGAAAATCAAGATGATCTAAGTTAATATTTTGACACTTTAATTATATATAATTAGCAAAATTGTTTATCTGTCAATCAGTCTATTTCCACCCCCACCCTCCACCCCATATCCTCTGTACCTCAACTTCAGCCATTGCTTTTTTTATGTCAGGATTCATTTATAATTTTTCTGCATGCCATATGCTTAACCTCATGAAAGAAAGCATTTATCGAGCATAGCTATGATATTCAATGTACTATTGGTGTTATTCAAATGAATAAAAACACTTTTTCTGTATAAATCAGCAGAGTCTTCTGTGTAGACCTGCACAACAATTCCTACCTCAGATATTCAGTATGAAGAAATGTCTGGCCTCTTGAATATTTTAATGAAAATGTCTAGTCCACATTTTTAATTCATACTTTGAGCTATAAATGAGCACAGGTACACACAGAGAGAGAGAGAAAGAGAGAGACAAACAGACACAGAGACAGACAGAGAGAGAGAGAGACAGAGTGAGAGACAGAGAGAGAAACAGAGAGATAGAAGGACGGAGGGAGGTCTATAGATTTACACCTACATTTACATATATATCTACTGTAGATCTCATTTACTATAAATCTCCATCTCTCTCTCTCTCTCTGGCACTGATTTTGCACAGAAGGCTACTTCTGTCAAGATTTTTATTTATCAAGCATTGGAAACTCGTAGCATGTAGTGCTTATTTCTGTCATTTTTGCCAATCCAGGTCAAAAGAGATGGAACACAGAAGTAGCACCCATCTTCTCCTCTTTTTTACATTCCTCTATGTTTTCTGGTCTCAAGCCATTGCCTTGCCTCCTTTAGGATCATACTCAACTATAAGGTAAGAAAACCCTAAGCAATCTCTCCTACAACTGTTAACATGATTTGCAAATTTAAGAACTACTTGAATCCCACGGACTGAAATAAGACAGATTTTTTTTACCGGTGTTGATAGCCAAATCTAATAAATATTGCTTCCACTGTCCCAAAGTCATCTGAAGAATGTTATGCTACTTTTTACTCTTTGACAAATAAATACTGGAGTATTTCTTTAGGTAAATGGATTAGGTATTTTTGAGCTATTGCAATTGGATTTTACCTCAATACATGAAGCAGGATAGAAAATATAAGCTAGTTCAGTAAATATTAAAAAAGCCCAATAACAATAAAGATTTAACTGGGAGATTTACTACTCTTTAGTTTGGATGTCTTTAAATTATTAAACTCAAGGCTGGGGATAGTGGAGGTGGGAAGATAGATTTCCATATGTGCAAATGCACCTACTACTGTAAGTAGGTAAGGTCATTATACAGCTGCTAGCTTGTGAATATAAAGAATATGTTCTTAATTATTCAGAAAGCTGTTAAAATAGTCACTATATTTGTTTATGAGAAACTTGAATAGTTGTCATAAATTTGATGCTCTGGGATCTGAATTCTAAGCTTGTTTTGCATGGTTCCATTCATATAGAAGAGCACACATTACTATATCACACATGAGAAAACCGGCACACCTTCACTTAGGCATCCTTAGCAATAAGCCTCAGAGATTTAAAAAAAAACAATATTTGAGATATTCAGAAAGCACTTTATTATAAGCCTTAAGAAGTCTTAGTACTTAGATGGCTGCCCAAAAGGAAATACAAGTATTGTAATCTAGATTAGAATTAGGGAGAAAAACTTTCTGGAAGTTGCACTACTTTGTCCAGAAAACAATACATCATTCATGTAACTACTTTGCATCCTGTTTTGGTCACCACATTATAAAAAAAGACGTTGAGACTCTAGAAAGAGTGCAGAGAAGATCAAGAAAGATGATTAGAGGACTGGAAGCTAAAACATATGAAGAAGGGTTGCGGGAATTGGGAATGTTTAATTTAATGAAAAGAGGACTAGGGATGAGATGATAGCAATGTTCCAATATCTAAGGGGCTGCTACAAAGAGAGTGAGGAGCACCTAAAGGCAGAACAAGAAGCAATGTATGGGAATTAATTAAAGACAGAAAAATTTCCTGACAGTTAGAAAGAATTAATCAGCGTAATGCCTTCATTTCAGAAGTTGTGGGGGCCTCCAACACTGGAGATTTTAAAAAAGAGATTGGACAACCATTTGTCTGAAATGATATGGGTTTTTCTGCTTGAGTAGGGTGTTGGATTAAAAGACCTCCAAGGTCCCTTCCAACTCTGTTATTCTGTTATGGAATGACTTTGACATATAGGAAGGAAGAGCCACAGCCAAGAAAACAGTCTGATAACTAAAATTTGAGTCTGAAGAAGAGAAAGTGTCTGAAAAGGGATTCCTTAGTTTTTCAGAGGGTAAAAGTATTCTGAAAAATCTTTTCAGTCTTGCAAAAGTTTGTGACCTTATAATAAAGGTAGAACTAGTACCCCTGGTTGTGTTTATCTGGACTAGCTAACATCAACCCTGCACATATAACCCTTACGTTAATATGTATAGTCCAGAAATTGACTGGAGCCCTATTTATTTAAACTAACCATAATAAGTGAACAAATCAGAAGCATGGTGGGGCAAATTGATAGTTCACATACTGATTATATTAATATATATATATTTATTTTTCCAGGTTTCTTTTTTTATACTGAAAATGATTTCCCATGAAAAGGAAATTATTGCTATTATTATGGCTAAATTATATCAAATCACTTGTTATTTATTGCCTTTAATGTTAATCCATGACATCTGCCAAGACATAATTCATAGAGCAATTCTGAAACTTATGTTTTGTGTTTAGTTTTTGATTAATTCTGGGAAAGGTGTTAAGGAAATATTTAGGATCTGTCTGTCTGTCTGTCTGTCTGTCTGTCTGTCTGTCTAGCTGTCTAGCTGTCTAGCTAGCTAGCTATTTTTAAGAAATATGTAACAAAAAATCAGGATTTGCAAAGAATTCCTGATCTAATATGGTCCCAGAAATCAACCCCTTTCCTTTTCTATTTTAAGATTAGAATGGGGACTTCAGCTCATATATATTTACTGTCAGATGTATGTGTTCTTTTCAACATAGCCCATCTCGATGAAATTGACCATATTTAAGTAACTGATCAGTTAAACAAATGATTCAAAATCTCACATTGTTGCAGTTCTGTTTGGAATATTCTTGTGTGAGAGCACAGCATGGTTTCCTTCTGCTTTTAGGCAATGCAGAGATATGCCACCATTATGACATGAGTGGGTGACTTTAAAGTATCTTCGAAGTCCTTGCCTTGTGAATGCTCTCTTTCCAAATCATTCTCAAATTTGTCTACCATCCTATTCCCCCTCCTCCAACTTTTCTCAGACTAGGAAACAGAATACCATTTGATGGACAAAGTGAATCTGATCACACCCAAAGTTCATTAAAACCCGAGGCTGACGGGGTTCTTCAGACTGCTCTACCTGAAAATGAGAAATTCTATTTTGATATGTCCAGAGCTATTGACAGGTAAAACTTTTGAACTCTAATAAACATTAGAAAAAAAGTCCTTGTAAAGTAACGTTGATAAACTCATTGATGCTTTCTGCCTTATCCTGTTTGAAACAAAGACTTTTCAACAAGGAGTGAATTCATAGCAATTTTGTGCGTATCACAAAATATATTGATCATACATTTTAAATCTATTATAGAAATACAAGACATGCTGATGGGCTCTTTACAAGTGGCTACAGCAAACTTTTGGGTCAACTTTCCGCAAGGAAGTATTTGGAATCCCTAATTGGAAAAAGGATTGGGTAAGTGGTTATACCATGTATTTCCCCAGTGCAGGTTACCTTTAAATATTCCTAATATAGTTCATATGATCCAGAAGTTTGTTATATTTTTTTTATATTTTGTATTAATGGCAAAGAAGTTTGCAATGCTGAAGAAGAAACCTTTAACTGAACCTTGCAGTGAATTTAGAAATTTGAATTATAGCTGAAGAGATATTTACAGTATATTATTACAAAGGGATGCAGTGGCTCAGGGACTAAGGGGCTGAGCTTGTCAATTAGAAAGGTTGGTAGTTCGAATCCCTAGCACCGCATAACGGAGTGAGCTCCCATTACTTGTCCCAGCTTCTGCCAACCTAGCAGTTCAAAAGCATGTAAAAATGCAAGTAGATAAATAGGGACCACTTTAGTAGGAAGGTAACAGCATTCCGTGCGCCTTCGGCATTTAGTCATGCCGGCCACATGACCATGGAGATGTCTTTGGACAGCGTTGGCTCTTCAGCTTTGTAACGGAGATGAGCACTGCCCCCTAGATCCAGAAATGATTAGCACGTATGTGTGAGGGGAATCTTTACCTTTACCTTATTACACTATTTCTTTGTTATTGCAATAAGGAGAGGTACAAGATGTGGCAAGGAAGACTACACAACTCCATCTGGTACAACAGTAATAACCTTTCCTGGACTGGGGGGCCCTTCTCTCAGTTATTCATGTCTTGACTACCTGCTGTAATAGGCTATATGTGGGGTTAGCTTTAAAGACCATTCGGAAATTGATGGGTGTTTCACAATGGATTTTCCTGACATCAGTAATGTCGGGATCACCAGGCTGAACCTGAGAGAGAGAGAAAATTAGAGCACTGTTCTATATGATTCTTTGAGCTCCTGGGGGGAAAAGGCTGGATATAAATCCAACACATGAATACATTTATTAAAGAAGCTGAGGTTGGAAAACTAAAAAAAAGTAAAGAAAGAAGGAGCTACTGGAAATTTCTGAAGCTAGAACATAACTTAGGGAAAGCCCTGATAGTGTGCTGTATACAAAACTGGACTTGTGGTGACATGAAAACCTGCCCATGATGGCTTTGCGTTAGGTACAAACCAGTCACACTGAATAAACTGTGAACAAATGAATTAAAATGTGAACAAATCCATTAAGAACACAGATGCCTCTGGTAAAGCTGAACACATGCCCAGAAACACCCTGTGCCTTGGATCTCCTGCCTTTTATGCTGAAAAAGTGACGTCAACAATTCATTTGCAGGCATTTCACTGTTGCACTTAAATCGGGATTCTGAGCAATTGAATGGAGCTGAGTGTTTACTAACCAGATGCCCTTCCTGTCACCAATGTGGAGTTATATTCAGCAGATATGTTCCCATCATGCCCAGAGAGAGAAATATCTGCCTCTACCTAGGATCGAACTCACAGCCTCCTGATTGTGAGGCAAGAACTCCCCATCAAGGCCATCGGACCGTTCACTTTTGCACTTAAATATGCTGGATATTTTGTGGATGGCACCTATTGATGACAGATAGTATTTCAAGACCAATAAAAAAAATCATTATTTGGCACATGGCCCAAATGCCACATTTCATACTTGGATATTCATTCTAGCTATGATTTCCCTTCAGAGTCAATGTGTTCCCAAACCCAAGAAACATTTAATCAGGTGTTAATCCATTAGAGCAGAGGGTAAGATCAAGACAAGTGGTTTTGTGGATGGCACCTATTGATGACAGATAGTATTTCAAGACCAATTTAAAAAAATCATTATTTGGCACATGGCCCAAACGCCACATTTCATACATAAGATCAAGACAAGTGGTTTTGCTGGTTTGTTTTTTTTTAAAGTGAGAATTGCAATAAAAGTATGAATGTTGACTGGCCTAGTCTTTGAGCGCCTTGTGCATTAATATGCTTCTTGCAACTCCATTTTTACTTGAAGAAACAACAACCCCCTTGATGAGCAGGTGCCAGTCAAACGTCACTCGGATGCTGTCTTCACTGACAACTACAGCCGTTTACGACAACAGATGGCGGTGAAGAAGTACCTGGACTCTGTTTTAACTGGGAAAAGAAGGTAGGCAGAGGAAATACCTAAAAATAGCTGGCCTTTAAAAGGATCAGGAAGTAACATAACCCACGAACAAAATCTTCTTTTTAATGCATGGCAAAAGAGTTAACAACAGCAGCTTTCTGTTATTTTATTATAATTTGAGGACAAATTATAATAAAAATAGTGTTAAACCACAACAGATTTTGTACCAAGAGAAAAGCGAGCATAACCTCTGCGTTTTCTATTTGTTATTTTTTTTGACATCTTTCTGCATGCAAAGTAATTATTTAGCAAAGAATTGGAGACCTAACTATCAAATGGTAGTTTTATAATTACTAAATAAAAAGGTTTGTATTATGTTTCCATAGAATAGCTGTACGTTCTTTTACATAACAAAACTAGCTGAGATGTATCTTTTCAGTAAAGACCTATAATGTCACAATAAAAGACAAAAGCACTAAGATTAATTCATTCCTAGGGATTCAGCAAAATGTGCATTGTTTCTCTGTTATTTAGTCAAGAAGATCTCAACCAACCCAACCTTCGGGACGAAGTAGAATTGCTTGAACCAGCCTTCTCAGAAAATTATGATGATGTCACTGTAGATGATCTGAGTTTTCTGAATCGCCTCCCACTGGTAGGTTGAAATTTGTTCCCAATCACAGAAACCACCTGACCTTCAATCCTTGACACGTATGACATGGCTACTCCTTTCCCCCGTCCATAAAAAGAAAAATATTACATTATATAACTTCATATCACAAGAAGATAATTGCAGGGCTTAAATAAATATATGTAAGCTAATGAAAATTAGTAGTTTGATACGGTTAACTTACTCAGTTTCCTGGGATTTTTCTTAAACTGTGAATATTAAGCTGTAGCTCCATGTGCCTCCTCCTTAATTAAGGTAAAAACCATTTCTTTGAAGATCATTAACTTTAATGAGATAGATAGAAGATAGATAGATGATAGATAGACGGATAGATAGATAGATAGATAGATAGATAGATAGATAATCCATAGCTTTTTTCTTCATATCCTGATTAATTGAAACAGAATCTGTAGCTGACAATCCCCAAAGTTTATCCTCACATACCAGACCTGCATTTACAGATTATTGTCTCATAGCTTGATGACCTGTCAGTCACTCTTAAACTGTGAGTTCCCATACATATGAGACTGAAATCTAAAAGCGAAATACCACTCATGCATCATCACAAAATCTTCAGAACCGTAAGGCCCACAAACTTGAAATTTCGCATGTATATTCCTCTTGGCTTCTAGGTGCTCACTAAGAAAGGATTTTTTTGAAATGACCATCAGAGCATTAGTATTTTGTATATTATTATTAACACGCTCTGATGCTAAGGAGTTCTACTCCCTCTCCCCATCTGAAAAGAAATCCAAATGCAAAACACAAGCAGAGGAGAGGAATTTCAGTTTCAGTTTTAGTTTCACAGCACCAAGCAGCTTTAGTAAAGAACAGTTGAGCTAAGCCACATCCAGGCTCCTTGCTGTCTCCTTCTTGCTCACACAGTAAATACTGTTTCAGTTTCCAAACAGCCCTTAACTCTCTCACACACTGACAGCCAGATGAATACTGATGGATGCTGGTAAGCAGAGGCAGAATTCCCCCCTCTATTTTCCTCTCCAAAAGCTAAGCCTGGCCACATAGTTTTGTAGTGAAGCATGGGTATCGAGCTAGTTATGCAATAGTTTCAAAGCAGCGAGTCGTTCTCCATTAAGCCAGTCAAAAGCAGTCAATGAAGGAAACTACCCTCTTCAAAGGATTGTGATTAAAATGGACAGCCTTGCCTAGACCTTTTGTTGGAGGTGGAATTTAGACATAATGTTCAGTTACACAGGGTAGTACCAATAGTCAGGGTAGGGAGGAGTCATGTCTTGACAAGTGGGGAAATATCAAATCCTACTTAAAAGACATTAAACTGGACTATACATGTAGCACTGGAACACAGAAAGCAAGCATGGTGGATCAAGCTTAAACCCTACCGAACCCAGCATTCTGCTTCCAAGGTGATCAATTTAATCCCCCCATAAATCATAACACCTGCTTTTAGGCATCATTTTTCCCCCACTACTGTTCCTGAGCAACAGACATATATCTGATACTGGAGGCAATATATGGCAATATATTCATCCATGAATTTGTGTAATCCCCTTTTAAAACTGTCTGGATAACCACCAAGACTAGTTTTTCTGAATGCAACTATATACTCTTTGAGCAATATATATATATATATATATATATATATGTATA